TTAGTGAAGGAGCCAGGATCCACTAGTATTCTCTTGACGATGATATTGGCTACCTTGAGGGTGATAACGAGAGCATCGTGATAGGGATTGAGGAGTGATGTTGCTTCATCGTCGATGAACTCTATGCTAAGGTTTGTTGGTTTCTGTGAAGGTTGCTACGATAGGTGATATACTTGGTTGGCTGTGGATCTGGCATGGCGATTTGCTGTGGAGTAGGTTACTTCACTTACTTCTGATCCGCTAGAGATCACGTTGCACATTTCTTCAGTCGGTAGTGCCTTTGGTGGAGGCGTTATTTGTTGATCCTTGTTTGCTATTGTGTTCTTGCCTTTCTTGGTTAAAAAGTTTCGAAGGTGGCCCCTTTTTAGTAATTCCATGACTTCCAGATGGAGGGTTATGCATTCGGCAGTGACATGTCTGTGATCTCCGTGGAACTCACACCATTTGGTAGTGTCTCACTTGATCTCGCTATATTTCAGCTTTGCTGACCACCTAACTACCTTCCCTATTTCTTTCATCACTACGACTACCTCTGCTGGCTTGATGTTTAGGTTGTAATCAGGCATCTTGTACCTTTGGAGTTAATCAAGTGCCTTCTTGCTATGCCGAGCTGTGTGACGATCATTGAGGTATCTGTTGCCTTGCATAAGCCCTCTCTTTACTTGATACAGCTCAGTCAGATGCCATTCTTTGCGTCTCTCTGCTCAACGATTGTGGAGTTCAACTTTGCTTTGTGGACTTCATCTTCTTCCCACCTTATTTCTACCCAAGCGCGGGCCATCACATCTTCCATTGTATTGCAGTTGAACTTGGTAAGTTCCTTGAATAGCTTATCATCTGGGAATAGTCATTTTCTGAAGGCGTCTACCGCAGTCTCTTGATTACAATAAGGAATGGAGACTTTCTCTCGGTTGAAATGCCCCACATATTCTCGAAGCGGCTCATTACAATGTTGACAAATCCTATAAAGGTCATCAAACAGCTTTTCGAGCTTTTTGCTACTGGCAAATTGCTCCACGAAGGTATCTATGAGTTGAGTGAATGACGTCATGGAGTTATTAGGGAGATTGATATACCATTGAAGTGCTGGTCCCATGAGGTTGGAGCCAAAATTCTTGCACATGCATGCTTCGCAAAGATCATGAGGTATGGCGACGATGAACATTCTTTGTTTGTAGGAGGCTGTGTGGTCATCTGGGTCGGTGGTTCTATCGTAGAGCTTCATGTTAGGAAAAATGAATTTGCGCAGTATCTCTACGAGCGCTATGACGTTACGAAGGGTGAATCAGCATAACTTTGGGGTTGTCTCTTCTTGAGGGGTGCAGGTACGCCTGGGATACGTTGGATCATGGCTTCCATCTCGGCTAGCCGATTGGCCAAAGTTTGTTCCAAGGGAGTAGGCATGGGGTTACATAGGTTGTTCAGGAGTTCGGGGAATACATTGGGATTTATGTGTATGGTCGAGTCAAGCCAAGCTGATTGGTTTGTGGCGTCGACATTTGGATGGATTGGATGTGTTTGTGGAAGGGTGAGATGGATCTCTAGCTGTTGTAGCAGGGTAGTTTGGGAGAGCCTTTCGGTAGCCGAATGGGTGATAGGTGGGGTATTGTCATCTTGGGTCGGCTCAGCTAGGGGCATTGTGGTTGGAGCCGAGCGAAAGGATGGACCCATGAGGGTGCCATGATCCAGGGTGGAAAATAGTTTTCTGGGGTGAATGGGAAGCTGAGAAGAAGATGCATTATATTGATTCACAGACCAATCTAGAGAGTAAAATTAGGTTACCTTATCTTGGAGGGCTTGGTTCTCAACGCAGATGGCGGCATTTTGTGCTTCCAAGGCTTGGTATTTGTCGTTGCTCTCCTATACTAATGCGGTGAGGGTCGCGATCTGAGTCGCGACATTAAGCGTTGGGGTTTCGATGTTATTGGTCATGATGGCTGGACGGAAGTTAAGGAATGGATTGAGCAAGTCATTCTAAATCGGATGATTGTCAGGGCCCCATGGTGGGCACCAAACTGTAGAAGGCAAAATCTACGATTACAATTGCGGGGTTGAATCTAGTGATGCGAGCCATTGGCAGTCTAATGGACCTGCAGGGAGAACAGCGAAGGTTGTGGATGCTTGGGCCGGAATAATATTAGGGTTTGAGAGCGAAAATGCTAGAGCTAAAGGGCGATTTCTCCATCAATAATGAGAGGGTTTGCCTCTGTTTGAACCTGGAGGGTTAGAATCCTAATGGGATTCTGAGTCCTGCCTCGTGGGGGAATTCCTCCTTAGGAAGGGATATAATTCCTTGCCTTTATCAAATTAGGCTCACCAATTTGGGTAAGATTCTAGATCCCACCAGAAGAGGAAACAGAATCGGATTCTGATTCTTTGTTTATTGGACTGTTGTGGGCTAATGGGCCGGAACTCAATTAAGCTTAATTTGCATGGTAGCCCAACTCATTGAGTGGGTAGTTCGCAAAGTAGGTTCAAGCATGGGCCCAACCAGAATTGGGCTAAGACCTTGGGCCGTAACTTGTTTATTTTGTTATTGGGCCTCGTTGGGTCCAATATGATTTTTAGCCATACAACAGACATGTAAAAGGATAAGACTTCATAACTTACATAACTTGAATAACTTACTAAGATAAAACCATCAAACTAAACATCAGTTTATTTTAGTTTAACAGTTGTAACTCAATTGAAAAACAACTTCTTGTCTGAAAAAATCCAATGGCGTTACTTTCTTAGCAGATTGCCCAAAACTGATCGCAACACAACACACATCACATGATGCTCGCTATGGCGACAATTTTCATCATCGCAACAAACTTCTTTCGCTGCAGCGGTCAGTCTTCAACTTCAAACTTGCCATCTTCTTGCCGCAACATTCCTTTTCTTATGCCAAGGCATCTTCAACTTCTAACAAAAGATTCATACTTCAACATTTTTATCTTTTCTTTGATATGTAAAATCTTCTGATTTTCTTTTTTAATTTTACAAACCTATTTTTCTAGTTTTTATTAATTTTATTAGTTTTTTTATTTTTAAACTGTGAAATCAAACTTAATTTTTCAACTTCTTTTAAATCTTTTACATTTTATTTTTAAATTTAGACTTCAAAAACTAAAACTAAATAAATAATTAGGGGTATTTAAGTCTTTTGTTTTTTCATTAAAGTTAACTACGATCAGATTAAAACATCCCTAAATTTAATGATTTGAAACTTGTGTCTATTTTCTATCATTTCATGAATATGTTTTACATAAATTAATAATATCCTCTTAAGTTTCATTAAATTTGGAAATTTTTTAGGGTTTGGACATACATAGCCAATCCAATTATCACAAATTCCCAAAATTTATAGGTTTTATTAAAGAGTAAACAACTTTTTCCCACCCTAATAATAGCTTAATGACACTTTTCAACCACAGACTTTTAAAATATCACTTTACTACCCAAATTTATGTTCCGTTTCCGATTTTGGCATCGCGACCCCACACCACTACCATTCTCTTCCCCATCATCACTCACTAAAACCTCTCAAATCCTACTACTGCTAACCCCACCAATCGCTAACAATCAAGCGATTAGGGATTGCGCAACCGCCCTTCCCAAGTCAAATTCCAATTAATCTCAATTACCAAAATCCAACATTCCACCATCAAAAGACTCATTGGTCTCCTCTCTTTAAAAACCCCAACAGTTTGGACCAAATTTGCTCTCTATTCACCTTTAAATTATAAATTTGAGTAGTAAAGTGGTATTTTAAAAGTCTGTGGGTGGAAAAGTATCATTAAGCCATTATTTGGATGGGAAAAAGGTCGTTAACTCTTTATTTAAAGTACAAATCTAGCTATAAAATCTAGTGATTTGCCAATTACACCCTTAATGGAACAATGAATTATATAATCCTATTACAAAAAGTTAAATTATGCTAGACTATACAAGACACAATAGTATAAGATTCAATAGTATGGTTTGACAGTCTAATTAAAGCGTGCTAGATGGTACTAGATTTGGTACTATAGTGCATTCTGACTATTTTTGTTTTTGTTATTTTTCATGAAGCGTCGTTAGGTTAAGTTATGTGATTTTATGGCTAAATTTGTTCTTTAAACAAAACCTTGACATTTTGGGAATCAAAACTAGTGATGATGGTTACATATGGGAATATTTGAATTTTTTATGAAGATTAATTTTTATGGAAAATAATTAATTTTTTTCTATAATGATTTAAAAGGGAGTAAAAGTAAATATATCAATAAACAATGCTAGTCAAATTATAAATCAAATGGATAAATACTAATAGTAAGTGACATGTTTGTTAATTAGGGGTATTTTGGTATTCTTATCTTTTATGTCAAATATAACAAATTTGAGCAGTTAAGTGACGTGTTTCAAACTAAACCACAAATGTAGTAGGTTACCTCAAGATGGTTCGAATCTAAGAAGTTAATAAAGAGAGTAAACTTTTTTTACCGCTAGATCAACTCCATGGGGTTAAGTAACACTTTTATTGATATTTAGATTTTGTGGTCCTTTTTGTTTAAAAAAAGGTGGTCCGAAATTGAAAATATCCCTATTCAATTAAGGATGTAATTGATTTTTTTTTTATTTAATTGAATACTGTCAATACCCACAGATTTGTACTTTAAAAAACTTGGATTTTGAAGATTTGATAACCTAATCGCTAATATAGATAGAAATTGAAACAAATAATAAAATTCATAAAAATGGTTAATATAATATTTGAATATTTGAGTGTCATAATCACATGCACTCAGCGAGGCCTTAAATTTAAATGAAGGGGCGTTGTCATCCATTTTCTTTATATTTTCCAGGGTATGAATGCATATATAAACATATCTTACAGATCAACTTTTGGAACTTGTAGTTTTCAGAGAATCAATTCTGATTTCCTGGAACTTGAATATAAACTACACCTTTTGTATATAAACTGACGCAACTGAGGATATTGTTATCCCATTGAACTAATCAGAAATTAGGCAAGGACATTTGTTTTTGTGGCTTTGGGGGAGAGAGACGAGAAAATGGGTGATCTTGAAACAAAAAATTTGGCAGAATCCCATGCCATGGTTGGTGGATATGGAGCTCAAAGCTATGCTAAAAATTCTTCCTACCAGGTAATTCTTATATATGCATGGTAACACAAACCCTGCATATGTTTACGTTATTAATATTTGATTATATACTTACATCTTAACTTATTTCAACTAAATTGTTGATTTCTTTATATCGTAGCTTTATTTATTTTCGCTTGGTAGCTAAATATACATTACTCAACTATTTTCTCCATAAAACACATTAAAATTGGTCCTTACCTATACATAGAGTAAACGACTTTTTCCCACCAAAGGTTTGCCTTAATAGTGACACTTTTCCACCCAAAAAGTTTCAAAATACCACTTTTTCACCCAACGTTTATATTCCGTTAATACCTAAAATATATTTTACTTTCTCAATCGGCGTTCGGCTAGTTACTGGGAGCCAAGGTAAAAGAGTTTATATAGAGCGGAGGTCGGTGGATCGAGTGGTGGTGACCAATTGAATATTCTCCGTCGAAATCAGTCAGAAATCAGCTAAGAATATGAAACTCTAGCTTTGTTATGGTCAACAATCAACAAAAAGCAGGTGTCAGAATGAGAGAGGTTTTGTAGAGAAAAGATCGGAGGTTCAAATGGTAGTGACGGAGATAATTTTTGCTGTCAAAATCAGTTTTGTGTAGTAACTGAACATTAACTTTGGGTGAGAAAGTGATATTTCTAAATTTTTTTGTTGAGAAAGTGTCATTAAAGCAAACCTTGGGTGAGAAAAAGTCATTTACTCCCTATATGTATACATAATTAAATTTCAGCATATATCTCATCAGTGCATGAAAGTTGAGCTGACGAAAAGATTATTCAATATAGCTTGTTAATTAAATAGGTTATTAACACTTATTTATAGTTAATAATTAATTATGTGTGTTAAATTTGCGATAACAGATATTATAGTTAATTAATTAATTTTGTTAGGTTTGTTAAGACTAATTAAGCTGATGTCATGTTAAAAATTGCGTGGTCAAACTGACCAAAAGATCCTTCAATCAATTTTTTTTTTAAATTAATTAATCATTATAAATAACTAATTTATTAACAACTAAAACCTATATTTTTAATTTCATTTAAAGGATCATTAAATATCTTCAGTAACTTTTATTATTTTGTGAGGCATAGGGTACATTTATCTAATCAATTTTTGACAAATGAGTTTATGGTATTCAGAGGGCAGTGGTGAATGCTGCAAAGGAAATGGTAAAAGACGCCATAGCTGATAAGCTTGACTTCAAAACCCTGGAATTTGATGCTTCCAACACGTTTAAAATCGCGGATTTGGGATGCTCCACTGGCTCTAACACCTTCATTGCCGTGCAAAACATTTTAGAATCTGTAGAGCAAAATTACCTTAACGAGCATCAAAACCCGTCAACTCTAGAATTCCAAGTCTTCTTTAATGATCACTACGATAATGACTTCAACACTCTCTTTAAAACCCTTCCTCCCTCCCGAAAATACTTTGCCACTGGTGTTCCAGGTTCTTTTTATAGCCACTTGTTTCCCAAGTCCACTCTTCATTTTGTATATTCCTCCTATGCATTGCACTGGCTCTCTAAGGTTCCAGAAGAAATTGTGGACAGTAAATCTCCTGCATGGAATAAAGGCAGTATTCAGTGTACAGGATTTGTGAAAGAGGTCGCCGAGGCGTATGCAGCGCAGTTCAAAAACGACATGGAGTGTTTTCTGAATGCTAGAGCTGAAGAACTTGTGGGCGGCGGGTTGATGGTGATTGTAATATCTACTTTACCAAATGGGATCCCTATGTCTAACACTGCTGAGGGTAAAATTTATGATTTGCTGGGATCTTGCCTTATTGACTTGGTCAAGATGGTAAGGATTTATATTATTTAGGAGAAGCTTTACTGCTCATATTTTTTTTTTCTTGGAAATAGTACTGAAGTATTATTTTTTAATGCAGGGATTGATTAGTGAAGAAAAAGTGGACTCCTTTAACTTCCCTTTATACTATCCAACCTGTGAGGAGTTGGAGGAGATTATACATAGAAATGGATTATTCAGCACTGAGAGAATGAAAGTATTCGCTCCCATTGTGCCAGGAGAAATGACATTCTCTGCTGAACGTTCTACCTCTCAGATTAGAGCGGTCTTTGAGGGACTCATGAAGGAGCATTTCGGGGGTGAGTTTATAGACCAGATATTCAACAATTTCACCGCAAAGCAGCTTGAGGAGACTTTCTTAAAATCTGGTGTTTTAAAAAACCATAACAAGATTGATCTATTCATAGCTCTCAAGCGCATTATGAACTGATTATTAGATCAACCATATATGCTCAAGAATGAGAATTTTATATGCCCAAGTATCTGAATTTCATATGGGACGATTCAATTCTTAATTTGTTTCAATACTATTTTGCCATCTTTAGTTCTTTACTATTTAACATTCAGTATTTATATTGTATTGGATATCTCCAACAAAATAATTTATATAGAACAGCCTTATCATCTCATGTGATTGACATGGTATGAGTATGACCATCCAATACAAATAGAGTTAGTTTTCATAATCACCGATCATGGTGGTAGTTATTAATGGATCATATATGATAATTAATGATCAATCATATTAATAGATGGATGAAAGAGAAAATTTGATATATATGTGACAACCAGTAATTCTAAGGTAATTCTAGATCCACAACCTTCTTTCACAACCTTCAACGTAACAGTTCGTAATTGGTCAACTCATAAATAGACTGACGGATTCATAGTAAGGAGGGAAGACCCATTTGCGAGCTAACAGACTCCAAGCTGTCACATCGGGGATTGTAAAATTAAGTTGTGGACATAGTATTACTCATGTGGAAACGTATGCCATTACTTGATTAGATGTAACTTGTAAGTATTTGTCTATTTCAAAATTGTTAAATTCAATGAAAAATTTTAAGGGCAGGTGATTTTGCATTATTACCCATACCTAATGGGGTTCTACTAAATCTGGCCAAACCTTGGGGGTTTCAAATTATCCCTTTAATTATTTATAGTATTTCATAATAAATCTTCTTGTAATTTCCTGCAATTTCATTTTTAAAATTTTCAGATAATTATCTAATTATTTTAAATATGTTTATCTACTGGAATAGAACATCATAAATATTTTATATAAACCACTATAAACTGTGTTGCCCTTAACAACAAAGAAGGGAATTGTTTATTTAAAGATTTATTTATTTTTTTAAATCTTTAGTTTGAAAACTAAAATAAGTCATTTTAGACTATGAGTTCTATTTTTTATCTTATGTTTATTTGTTTAATTAAATCATTCGAATCATGAGAAGAAAAAGGCTAAAAACAAATATTGTTATTTTATTTAATTATTTGTTTTATTTTTCCTTAAACTTTTAATCAAATTAAGATCTATATATTTACACAAATAAAAAAATAAAAAAGCCTAAATTTCAAAAAACGACATGCTAGACTATACAGTTTAGATCAGACGACACATGGTTACATGATTTAAATGATCTTATGTTAAATGATTTACCGTAACATTAAAAGTATATGATAGAGTAAACAACATATTCCCACATGAGGTTTAGCGAAATCCCAAGTTAATACCCCTGGTTGCATTTATTTCAGATTTCTACCGCTAAACTAACACTGTTAGTGATTGTCAAAGGTGGTCGGAAACGGTGAGTGAGGTCAGAAAGTGAAGGTATGGTTTTGTAAAAGAAGTTGTGAGGAGTCCAACAATGGTCTCAGAAGTGATTTTGAACTTCAGAATCGACCAAAAAAGCAAAAAATCATTGCTTGGACGTTGCTAACGTCAACCATTTTTGCTAACATGAGCCCATCTTCTGTCAAAGAAAGTGTTGTCATACTTTAGCGTGCTAACGTACGTCACATTACAATGAAAAGTTGAGTATCTATTAAAATAAAGGAAATAACTTTAAGGGTGAAAATTGGAATAAATAAAATCAAAGGTATTAACTTAGAATTTTGCTAAACCTTGGGTGAAAATGTATCATTTTCTCTATATGGTGTAGATCGGACGACGCTAGGTTACATGATTTAAATTTTAAATGACATTATTATTTGGAGGTATAAATATAATGAGTTGAGAATCCCAAATTTAGGTATTTGTATAAGTTGACTATTTTTTTTTTTTTTTTTCAGTAATACTAGGTTTACATCACCTTCTCACATCATGACGTGATAGATGACATGGCAGTGCCACATCAACAAAATGCCACGTCATTTCCTCCCAAATTCAAAAAAACCCAAAATTTCAATTCTCAATTTATCTAAAACAAACCCCAAATCAATCTCAATTTCCCCAAAATACAAACACTAAAATCTCATCCAAAATTTCAGCTCTCAATTTACCTAAAACAAACCCAAATCGAATCTCAGTTTCTCCAAAATACAAAAAATAAAATCTCTCTCCAATTTTCCTTTCAAGATTAGCGAACCTGATTCTTTTCGATGCTCACCACCATTTCCTTCTCTTTGTTTCCTCCAATTGCGTCCCCAACGAGCGCCGCACCTGTATGTGATTATTTCCCGCTTGTTGGGTTCCAAAACGTCGCATCTGTAAGGGTAGGCATTGTTTATATGATTTTAAGACCGAGTGTGTACCTTCTTAGGGGAATTAGAACGTTTAACCATTAGTGAAGAAGGTAGGGACTCAATAAAGAAAAGAAATCAATGTCAACATGAACTTTGGCACAGTAGCCAAAGGCTTTAGCTCTTGTAGCTTTATCAGTCTAAAAGGGAATTCCAATACCTTGAGATAATGACTTTAATTTTATTAAAGTTTTTCCCTTTTCCTTGCGTAAATTTGGTCAAAGTTTTTGGCTTTTCTAGTGAAAATAATTGATTTTTGATATGTGGGTATGCAGAACGGAAGTTAAAGGTTTGTTTTCTTCACTGTGATGCAAGGATTCAAACTTTGTCAGCCTACCCAAAACTGAAGTTCAGCTACTCTCCCCTAAGGTATTCTTAAGACCAATTGTATCATTTTAGCTGTTGACTATTATCTGGCATTAAGAGTAACTTTCCTCTTAGTGTAGTGTAACCATAACTCATCTCTCCGACGTGATCCCTGTAGCATCTCTCGGCTTATCCAAATTCCATTCATTTTCACAGGTTACTATTTTTTAAAGCTTAAGTTGTTTATCCTTTTGTTTTGCTCTTCGAAAATAGTTTAAAATGAAAGGTATTAGTTTTGGCATTCATAGTTTAAAATAAAAGAGTTGGGCAATGGATTGGGCATCTATTTTTGTTGTAAAATGAGATTTTATGCTGTATATGAAAAAAAATAAATGGGCAATGTGTTGGAAGGGAAGAGTGAATCATGACAATATAAAGATAATGTGTTTTTAGAGATTACGTGTTTTGGAATTTTGGTTTAATTTGCATGACAATTAAAAGGATAACAACAAAATAAAATGAACTTAAATAATTATCATAAGTGCACTATTGTTTTTAATGTAGCCCCTTTTTTTTTTTTTTTTTTTTTTGTTCTTGGTTGTAGCTCAAAAACCAATTGGTTGAAATTGTTGTTGACATGCTTTAATATAGGTTTTATTGTTTACAATAAAAGTTTTTGTATGTGTAGACTTCTTAATTAAGCACGCCACCGCTCCCAATCACAACCGTTTTACACATCCAGTGTCCCTTGCAACACGACCAATTCAAACCGCACCACTATCGCAAACACCCAGCGTTTGCCCACCACCACTTTAAAGATGGAGGAGTGTATTGTTTCTAGCTTTTCTTTTTTGTGTCTGGAATTTTATAAATTTAGTGTTAATTCTATCATGGTGGTCCAAGAAATTACTTGGTTGTGGTTGTTGCTTGTGTTGGGTTGGCTGGGGGGTTCGTTTGGGTGTTGGGCAGGAAAGGGTACAAGTAGGTGGATGGGTTGAGGGCTGCTATGAGTTGGGATAATCCTTTTTGGGAGGTTGGCTTTTTTTTTTTTCTGCTGCAGTGGGTGATGTGTCCCATGGCTGTTGGCAGTAGCTTGGTTTGGCCTGTTTCCCTTCACTTTTCGTGAGCTACTATTGAAGTTTTTAGTGGCTGGATTGGGTTTTTGCTTGCTACAACTGCTTGTTTTGTTTGTCTGGTTTTTTTTTTTTTTTTTTAAGATCTGGCTTCGTTGAAGTCTTGTGCTTAGGCTTCCTTGTTTGTTGTTTTGTATGCATTATTGTTGATCATGTCTGTTGACATATTAAGTGTTTAATTTGGACTTTTGCTTCAGTTTGCTTGACAATTAAAAGGATAACAAGAAAATGGAATGATACTGATTCTGATCAAAACAGCAAGTTCATTGGAGGAGAGTACTGATACTGATCAAAACAACCAGCTCATCACTTTATTTTCTTGCTACTGTAATGTATGTTGTGTACAAGTTTTTATAATTAATGTTGTAATGTATGTTGTGTACAAGTTTTTATAACGCAACATTGAGGTTCTATTTCATTATTGGATGAATTTTTATCTTGGATGTACTTTTTATTTTAAGTTTCATGACAAAAAAATCCAGCAGGTAATTGAAGTCTTATTATGGTGGAAATAAGAGATTATGAATGCATCATTTAAAGTTTGTAACACTTGTTTTGAATCGTCTCTAACTCTCCTATGAATGATCACTTACTGTCTTGAGTTAAAAAAATCTCCATAAATTTATGACAAGTTACTAAGTGCTTTTGTTTATTGCAAATCAAACCACAAAACATAATATAGTAAGTATTACCACAATTTCATAGAATTCTTTGCATAATTTAGCTTATTTTATGCATTTAAAAGGGTCTAAAGTCGTTTCAGAATTTTCTCTATGATGCTCAAAACAAATTGCCTTTAAATATGCTTCAAAACATGGAAGAAACTCTGCTTCAAAGTTCAAACCACTCAATCAAGCAACAAAATTGAGATAAAAAGGTAAAGAATAAAGAGCGTCAATTTATTTTCAAATAAAAAAATGAATTCATTGATAAAGGTCCCTTTAATCTGTAAAGAGACAAGCTACACTTCTGAAATAAAGAAAGAATAACTAAAGTACAATCAACAAAGATGCATTTTTTATTCTCTCCTTAGTACAAGAAAACAAAAGGAAGTTTTTCGTAACATTCAAAATTCACTCCTTCAAATCATGCACTTGGAGGCTTGTACAATTTCTCAACCATCTTCCTATACTCTGAGAACAACCCTAAACAAGCAAGGGACGCCGCCTAACAAAAGAAAGTAAGGGAGCCAGAATGTACACCCTTTACACACCCCTTAAACAGCCAAAAGAAACCATTTAGGGATGGAAAACCAAAAAAGTCTTTATACAGCCAAGAGAACAACATTAGCCACAACACAAGACCCCAAAAATCATCCGGAGCAGGAGCATAAAATTGCCCATAAAACGGCAGCAAAAAATCAACTGGAGAAGTGAATCAACCATAGCCCCACGCTGCAAACCACAACAGCAACATCCAATCAACAATACAGCAGCAAGAATAGACAACCAACAACAAAAAAGCAACAAGAACAGCCCCTTACTGGTAAAAAAAAACTATAGCAGTAATGGAGAAACAGAGTCTACAACAACGCACAAAGACCCCAGCGCCAACTGCCTCAATGCAGCCCTCACCTCCTCCCACAAAGCCAACCTTCAAGCCAACCACCCTAGCACCAAAAACACCCCCCAACTGCCAATCCCTCTCACCAACCACACAAACCACACACAACCCTAAGAGATGGGTCTACAATAGCCACAACACAAGACCCCAAACCAAAAAGTCAACCCACGCACCAGAAGAGAAAAAAAAATTGAAACAAGATCCTTTCCTCCAGAAACATCTCTGCCAAATGCACCATGCAACAGACTAGAAACAAGCCCCGCACCCTTCCACTGCCCACCCACCATCCGTACCAATTGGGGAGCAACTTAAAATTTTAATCAAGTTACTTGTCTTAGTGAAAACGTAACTTTCCATTTATGGGTTGTTAATTTTCTCTTCATCAAATAGAAAATTAGAAGTTAATAAGAAAAAGGAAATTATATATCAGTGTTCTTACCGTTAAGGCCATCAGTTCAAACTGCAATCTATTCAATCAAACATATAAAAATGAACAACTAGAAAATCCCAAAAATCCTAAAGGAACTTATAGAAATAAGCAATCAAAACAACTTAAAAACCTAATTCAAGAACTCAAAGATTCACCTTTGAAAGGGATAGGTTAGTGGTGGTGGAAGATAGAGTTGTCTCAAGAACATTTGTAACCTTAGGCAAGAGTTACTTTGGGGCCTTCTAATAATATAATCATATATTAAAAAAATTATATCAAATTTATTATTCTTGCCTTTTGAGATGCAAAATCACTAGGAGAGGTGGACGATGACCGACAGGCTAACAGGGTCAGGTTTGGTGGGGGGTTTTGGAGAACAGATGTTGGAGAAGCAATGGGTGGTGAAATGGGTGATTTCCAATGCCAGGATTGATCGGAAAGGCTTGAGAAGTCGTGGCCTAAAAGGTATTGGTGGCCGGCAATTAGCGGCGTAAACAGATGAAGTATGATAGGGGTTTTGATGAGAGGCTTGAGGGGAGGAAGATGGTGGTGTCGGGGAAGGCTAATAACGTCGGGTACATGCCGAAAAAGTCAAAAATGGATGTCGCACGTGATAGAGTTAGGTTGCAAGATTCGTAAAAAATTAGCCAAATCGAGGGCTATTAAGGCTGGGAAAACACTTGGTAAATGATAAAGTAATGATTTTGGTGAGAAAATCTACTAGAATCAGCTCCAAACGGCCGGCGGCGAAAGAGGGGTGGAGATGATTTATGTGAATGTCGAATTGTGGGATTGAATTGGGGATGAGTAATTTGAGACATGTAAATGACCATTTTAGCTATTCATTTTTACAAGAAATTCAATATGTTAATTTAAGGGTGTAAATTATAATATATGAAACTAAAGGTACAAACTTGCAAATTTGTCAAACTTTGGGTGGGAATATATGTAAAAAGTTTATAATAAATTTGGGCATCTGGGTTTTTGTTTTTTTTTTTTTTTTTTTTTTTTTTTTTGCTCTTGAGCCAGGCTGAAAAAGAAATTATACACTATTTATTTTTGCATATATTTAAAAAAATTGGACCATTTTTACCCTATTTTGGGGGGCCCTAGCAGGTGCCTCACCCGCCTACCCCTGAGCCGGCCTTGGGTGGAAGATGATAGATTGGTGGCCCGAAATGTGTGGGTTTGTAAAGGATAGCCTGTGGTGGTGGAAGAGGAGTCGCAAATGACAGTGTTGAGTTCAATTTCCATTCTGGGGTTTCAACTGGATTTTGGGAGAGAAATTATTTTTTCTTAGGAAGAGGAGTTGCGCATGACAGTGGTGGAAGACTGATTGTAGGGAAATTTTGAGAGAGATTTCTAATTTAGGGTAAGAAGAGAGTTTGAGTTTTGATTTTGTTTTGAGAGAGAGATTATTTTAGGGGGAATTCAAATTTTTTCTTTTTTTAATAATTTGAAGGGAAGTGATGTGGTATTTTGTTGACGTGGTATTGTCACATCATGAGATGTGAAAAGATGGTGTAAACCTAGTATTATTATTATTATTATTTGTGTGTGTGTGTGTGTCCATTGGCCACGAGATGGGCTGTTTTTTGGAATTCTTTCTTGATAATACCCAACATCGTCATAACTGACGACGCGCCTCGCAAAACCCTCCAATCCAATCTTTCAACTTTAGCCCTTCTGTAAAATTTCTCTCTCAATTTTTTTTCTATTCAAATGGCTGGATTCCGATTGCCCCCGGAAGATTCTGAGCTTTTTCAGCCGCAGCAGCAGACCCGACCCACGCCCGATCTGGTCTCCGATGATGAGCGCTCAGTTGCGGCGGACTCCTGGTCTATAAAGAGTGAATATGGAAGCACTCTTGACGATGATCAGCGCCATGCCGACGCCGCCGAGGCACTCTCCTCCGGCAACTTCCGTGCTTCCTCTGATTACAAGTAATGCATTTCTTCACTTATTTTATATTTGGTTTACCGAGATAAACGATTTAGGTAACTATAGGGAAATGAATTAGGGTTTTTGGTTTTGTGTTTTTTTTTTTTTTCTTTTTTCCCCTTCTTTAGTGTGAAATGACCTGATGGGAATGTGAAATGTAAGTTTTGCTTATTCTATTTTCATGTTCTTTGAGTAGATAAGCTTAAATTAATGGTAAATAATGTATTTTTGAGATGAATGCTTGAGTCTGCTGAATTTTTTTTTTAAGCGGTTAAGTTGCTTAAATTCTACAATTGGAGAAGGAGCTAAACATAAAGTTTTCTAACGGAAACCTTTAATTTGGTTATTGAATTTTGATTTTAATGTGTTGTGTGTATTCAGTTCTGATAAGGAGGAGCCAGATCCAGATGGAATTACATCAATGCTAGGTCGTCAAAGTTACTGGGATGCTGCATATGCAGATGAGTTGGCAAATTTTCGTGAACATGGCCATTCTGGTGAAGTTTGGTAAGTGGTGATTTAATTATGTAGTCTAGAACTTTTCTGAAGTTATATAAGTATGCTGTACTGATTCTGTCGCCACATTTAATAATTAATAATTTGAGCCTGCTTTGAAGAGGTAAGTTACTGCAAGTAAGAACTTGTCCAAAATAATACAATCTTTATTGTGACAATCATGCATTGGGTGCCATTGGAAGTTGTTATGAAATAATACTGTCTTGTTTCTGGTCTTCAAGGGAACAGTCAAGGGTTTACTCATCATATTGGATGATACATTTGTTTGGCCTTCTCCAAGTAGAGCTTCTAGGAGTCGATCCTTTAGAATTAAAGTTTACATTACATATCTTTTTTTTTTTTTTTTTTTTTTTTTTATAATCTTGGATGTCTAACTACTGGATGCTTACTATGGCTTAAAATTTATTGATTTCTATATCTTTATTATTTAGTGACTTGTCTAAACTAATATTACACAATACCTTCAAAAGGTTATACTTCATTTTCCTGAATCTCGATAATGTTATTCTCAACCAGCATGACTAAGAGTGTTTTTGGCATCACTGAAAATGCTGTCAACTGGTCAAAAGTACTTTTTCAATTTTCTTTTTAATAATTTTTAGCTGAAATAAACTAAGTGCTTTTTGAGATTAAAAAACAAAAACATTTGAAGTGCTATTTATAGAAGCACTTGATTGGTGTTTTCCAGAAAGTACCTTCTACAAAAGCTCTTGTGAACATAATCTTAATAGTTATGGTGGCCGGAAGCATAGAACCGAAGGTTCAAGTTGATACCTTACGGAAATATATCAAGTTTTAAAATAAATCATAAAGTACATTTTTTCTGGGTTCAAGTAATTATGTATTGAATGTTGCTGAAGCTGTCATCTTCTTAAATCTTGATATAATGCATAAATTGGACATGTCACTTAGTTTTTTTGGTAACTCGAATGCTATATTGGTACGTTGCAGGAACTGCAAAAATATAAATAATGTGCTGAACTAGTTTAAGTTAAATTCTGTAAAATCAAGTTTGTACTGTAGAAGTGAGCTTTTATTGAATATTTTCACTTGTTTTTGTTTTGACAATTGGAGTATAACCACCTTCTGTATTTTAGAAATATATATATATATATATATATATATATATATATACCTTCCTTTGAACTTCTACACAGTGGATGATGACCACAAAAATATTTTATAAACTCCGGTAAAAAAGAATGGAGCTTCAAAATCTGAGAATTTTTTCTCAGTATTCATCAGTACTATGTTTTTTGTAATATCTTTGTGATTGTTTTCTCCTTTTTTATTAGGTTTGGAGCTGATGTCATGGATGTTGTTGCTTCTTGGACGAAAAGTTTGTGCATTGAAATATCTCTAGGTCGCATGCCGAATCCTGGTGATGATTTTAAGTCTGAGCCTGTCGAAGAGAGTGATAAGTACCTGTCTGGTTGGAGTATACTTGATGTTGGGACTGGCAATGGTCTGCTCCTTCAAGAACTTGCTAAGCAGGGGTACACTCTGAGATTTTGCCTATAGTTCTGGTATTATGTGCTATATTAATCTAAGAAATTTAAAATTTAATTTAGTATTTTAATTGCAAATATATCTTCATCTACATCATGTTCCTTCTTTCTTTATATGGGAACTTAATACACATATGTTGTATGGTTCAGAAGAATATGGCAGGAGTTTTAAGATATGAGATAACGAGTTATCATCTAGGATATAATTTGGTTTGTACATGGATGCATATTATCTTATGCATTGCACTAATGAAGTAAACATGAGTAAATGAATGTGTAAAGGCTTGAAATGAGGCATTTTAAAAGTTCACATATCCCTATATTTTATTTGATGCTCTGTGTATGTTTGGAGATCTGGGTAAATATAATCTGAAAATTTCCTTATGTGAGACCCAGGGGAGTTAATAAGCATCTTATGATGTTATGGAGATTTTTGAATTTAAAATAACACATTAATTGCCTCCATGGTAACTTGGGTTTGATTAATAAAATAGAATCTTTTCCACACTGGTGTGGCTGGAACCTAAAAAATTACTGTACCATTAATTTGAATTATGTTCCAATTTTTAAGAGTATTGAAACAGAAGTTGGTTATGGTTGGGGAAAGTGAGGAGGGGCTTTGATAAAGCTTTCTTTGAAAAAAGTTGCAAGATGCTGTTATGTCTTTGAAGAATTATTAGATTTAAGGTTGACTTTTTATACTGTTGACCAGAAGAATTCTTTATTGTCAATGTTATCACATCCTTATTTATGCAATTTTTTCTAGTTGTGGGTAGATTGTGACATAGAAAGCCAACTATTGTTCTTGATGGTATAATAACATAAAACTATAGAAGCCCAAACTTTAGTAGTATAGTCTTGTTTGGAATTCATACTAAAGACACCAAACCAAAGAATATGACTTTCTCTTACTTCAGTTGTTATTTGTATTTGTTTAGTGGTTTCCTTCTCCTTTCATTTGGGAGACCATGAAACAACTAAGCAACTTTTCACCACATATGTAGATTTTGGAATCCCCAGCTTCTATGTAAAACTCATTTTCTTGTAGGAGTTGGAAATTGAACATACGTTTAGTCTAAGTCTTTCCTTGCATATGTGGGGCGGTATACTATTATATTAGCAGTTAGCCCTGGGGTTCAACTCCCCTTGGGACTACATACTTGGGATATATTTTGACTAGCAAGATTGTAGGATGTGACATAGTCCTCATCTTAAAACTCAATGAATTCGTAACAAAAGGTTGGGAGAGTTTTGGTGTACAAATAAAATAAAGTAACATAGTGGTTGGTTTAAGAATCAAATGTTTGATTTGCATCAAGATGGTTAAAGGGATGGTTGAGCTCATGGACCTTTTTAAAGTTTCATGAATTGTGAAGATGACATAGAATGGCTACCATGGAAACTTCCAGTCTACAGTGGGATGATACCATTACCATGTTTCATTTAGTACAAGTAGGATATTTTTTTGGACTAAATGGTTTAGTGGCAAAAATTTTCCTGCCTTAACTTGTAACTATTAGTCTTATGGGTGTTTTGGTCATTTAATTTTTTGTTAGAACGGGCCACAATGTAGAATATAAATAGCATGGTTGGAGAGAAAGTATCCTATTAAAAATGTTAATTAAAAAAACTGAAATTCAGTCTTATTGTTGCATTTGCTGGAAATGATATTGTTCTAATTTTAAGACATCTTGTGTTCTAATATTCAGGTTCACTGATCTAACTGGAGTTGATTATAGTGAAGATGCAATCAACCTGGCTCAAAGCATTTCTAATCGTGATGGCTTTTCTAATATTAATTTCTTGGTAATGATGAAATTGATAATATTTTTGGACTTGGTTATGACCTACTTCATCTTTAATTCTGCATGAAATCATTTTACATTTGATGTATATCATGGTGATTTATTTATCTAGAAGTGATTGCCTGCCCTGTAAAATGTATAATTGTTCTGGTTTTGTGCGTACTGCTTTACAGACTTGCACTAATATTATAAGATACCCATGTACGTACATGCAGACATGCATAAACACACATTCTGTGAAAACTTGGGTTTCTTGTAAAGTTCTGATTCTTCGTTTCTTACTGCAGTAATTTTTATTAGTGAAGGTAATTTCTTCTTTCTTATTATATTTATGATTTTAAAACAAGAAAAAGAAAAACAGAGCATCTTGTTGGTGAAAAAAAATTGCTTGAGGTGACTATCCATATATTTTTCTTTCACAGTAAATATTGTCATTTCTCAGAAGATATAATAATGCTCGTGTAGTATCACAGACTAGAAGATAACTTCCTAGTAGATCTGGGTTAAGTGTAGAGAGTAATAGGATGCTGACCTTATGGGTTATATAGGACAAACTTATAATATCTGATGTTTTTCAAGTGAGTTCAGTGGTCTTAAACCTGTTGGGTGGTATTCATGAACTGTTTGAATGGGTTCAACGACTATCCATTTTCAGAAATTATAGGAACATCGGTGTTTTATTAACCTTAATTTAATAATCATATGTGCAATAGACGCTTTATTTAAATTTCAACTCTTGTTACTTTGGTTTTCAGGTTGATGATGTTCTCGAAACAAAGCTTGAGAGACAATTTAGGCTTGTCATGGATAAAGGGACTTTAGATGCCATTGGATTGCATCCTGATGGACCCCTCAAAAGGTAACAATATCATCATCTTCCACTTGGTGATGGGCAAATAACTGATTGCTAATTAGCTAACCCTCTCTGTTGTCCCAAAACTTTCAATCTTGCCGTTACTGCTATAATTCACTGAAAAGTGAAAATTATAATAATGTTTTCTTCTCTCAGGATCATGTATTGGGATTCAGTTTCTAAGTTGGTGGCTCCTGGTGGAATATTGGTAAGTACCTGAGCCGATTTCTGAATTCTATTATCTTGGTATTGTCTACTACATTTCTCACTTGTTCTGGTTATTGTGTTGGTGGTGATAGGTGATCACATCATGTAACAGTACAAAAGATGAGTTGATACAAGAAGTGCTAAATTTAAACCAAAGAAAGATTGATGTATCCCAGGAACCTGATAACTCAAAAGAACAAGAAGCAAATAGAGAGCCTCCATTTCGATATCTGAATCATGTTCGCACGTACCCAACATTCATGTTCGGTGGAGTAGAGGGATCGCGTGTTGCCACTGTGGCATTTCTTCGGAACTGAGAATCAATTAATCATTGTGTTATGGTGGGTTGTAGTTTTAGGCTTTGTTTTGTTATGGATTGAGTTGGAAGTGTGTGTGCAGAACGGGTGGAACCGTGGAAGTTAACAGTGATGTGTTTGAAAAATGATGAAATTCATTGAATCCTTTGCTATTAAGAACATGCCATTTATTTTCTTCTTTATTCTGTAACATACTGTTTTTTATTCCAGTTCTCATGCATTATATAATTTTAAGTCAACTAAATTCTAAACAAGAAAATATGTAGCAAAAAAAAATTACTTAATCATGCATCATTAGTATTTTAATTATTCTGTCAACAAGGTTTACAACATTATCTTTAGTGAAACTGTGTGCTGTTTCTGAACATAAATATTAGTTTATTTTATTTTATTTACTTCATCAATAATCATAAAAGTAAGAATAATACCCAATCAAGGTTTGGAAAATTAGTTGAGGTGTGTATAAACTGGACACTCTTGATCATGTGCAAAAAAAAAAAAAAAATTTCAAAAATTATTTATTTACATGATAGGTCACAGGAGAGTAGTGCTATCTCTAATGGAAGGCAATCTGGTTATAAATAAATAAATATGTGAGCATCATAAATTATCTCAACATTTTTTATTACAAAATAATTTTGGTTTTATTTTGCACTTGCTGAATTTTTTTTTATTTTCCTTAAGGCGTTACCAAAATGACTTATTAATAACAATTTAGAACCCAATCAAATTATTATCCCAATTTTAATATTAGGCCAAATTGCCCAATTCATGTAAGTTAACAGCTAAGTTTTGTTCAAATAACCCCACTACTTGAGACAAAATTGATGTCTTAACTTCATAATATATTATACAATTTGGAGATGAAAACAAAATTTTGGAGACTTTTTAACAAACTCATTTGGTAATAAAATAAACTTATGTTTACTGAGTCTCTTCATCTTCAAAGATAATATTTTAAAGGGCTAAGTTCGAAGAATTGAAAGACAAAGTATATGTAGATATCACTATTTTAATGTAATGTATATTCTAAGCTATTTGGGGTCAACAATTAATAAATGAAATATCAAAAGATATATTTTTGTCACATCGAAAAAGATATATGATCTGTTTTTATATAAATTATCATATAAAATTAAAAGAACGCGTAAATTCAATCCTAATTCCTTAAGTAAGAAGGTATACAGCTATTATATAATATGAACAAAAAATGAAGAACTTGAAAATAATGAATGACATTCTGAAAATATATATCAATACAACTTAATTATCATAGAAAATAATGAATGAAATTGTGATTCTCGGAGTTACAAAAGATTATACATTGTATACAAGTCAACAGAAAAAACTGTAATTTTTCATGACCTAGAGAAATCATTGATTGAGATGAACTAAGATGGAAACAAGGCAAAGGAAAAGTGTGCCACCAATACAAGTGAAGCCAATAGTGCCACCAATCAATCCCACAAGCTCAAAAATCTCTCTCATATCCTTGTGTTTTTTGAGTTTTTTATCATACCCAGATGCATAATTCCATCCATTTTCACATCTGCAACACCTCTCTAATCTCTCCTTCATCACGACTTCCTCTATCCTCTCTTTTAGAATACTCAAATTAGCATCAACAATGCTAACCCTTCTTCCTGTCAAAACAAATTATATATTAATCTCCCTGTGTCAAATGCATGAATGAACAAGAGACTTGAATACTTGAAACATATAGTTAATTAAATATATGTACATACCTTCATCTCTAAAGCTCTGAGCTTTGACTTGCAGGGATTGATGAGAATGGCGCTTGAGAGATATCGGTTTGGTTAGAGCATTGAAATAAGGTATTGAAGAAGCCATTTGAAGATTTTCTATGAAGGGTTTTCCCTTTTCTTGTAATAGAAGTTCTCTTTCTCTTGGCCTGCCTGCTGTTTTGGTGGTCTTTTATACGGGAGAAGAGGTGGTTTCTGTGGTCAAAGAAACCTGGAAAGAAAACAAAATATGGAAACTAGGTAGATGGGTTCTATAAAGAATGTGAAGGGCATTCTATAAATCAAAGGCAGGCAAATGAATGTAAGGACGTCGGCTGTGAGGAACATTTGGAATAGAAAGAGGACAGTTTGATCAATTAATTATTCTAATCTCCGTTGAATGCTTGGTTTTGGTCAAATATTAGGGTAAAGAGATACAGCCACAAATGAACTCGTGTATTACGAGATTTTAAGTTAATATTATAATATAATTAAGTAATAGATGTGTAACAAAGTGGATGAAGATGAATATGATAGGGTGGTGAAAGAAGAGACATTTTGTACTTGTTTATAAGAAAAAAAATTGGAAAGGAGGAATTTAATTAACAGAAGCTGTCGTGTGTGCATCATTGTGTTGAACAAATATGAACTGGACTTGAGATTAAATAATTAAGAGCTAAATTTTAATTGTCAGACTAATTAATTAAAAGGTTAGAACTTAATAATTTTATATAAGTGGCCTTGTATAAATTTCATTACTTGATGAATTCTTTCTGATTTGATTTTATGTCACTTGAGAATATAATACATAGAATAATGTTAGACCCTTTAATAATTGGTAATTATTGAGACTTTGGATGGAAGCAAGAATTAATAAAGAGTCGTATATATTAAGGTAAACACAACATATAGATGTCTTCCAAGTAAAGCTACATATGTATAATTGATTGAACTATTGGCTAACTGGAGGTGAGTTTAAACTATTACTGCAAATAATTTTCTTGAAAAACAAGAAGCTAAGGATGTTTGGGGAAATGGTGTACATACAAGATAAAGTTCATTTATTGATTTCTTAACTAAATTAAATAAATACGTAAAATAATGAGAATTAAAAGAGTTAATTTTGTAATTTAAGTTGGATTATAAAAGCTGTTTTCAAGGCCCGGGAAGGCAAAAGAGGCAAAACCCAAAGGTTTTATTGGGAAGATCCATTAACAATTGCCCTTTACTAAGTATCAAATTATGGCATTACAATTAAGTATCAAAGTTACTGGAAGTATCATGCTTGAGTAAGGAAACTGAGAAGAAAATGAGATAAAAAATAAATAAAAAAAGAGCAAGAAAATGAGAAAAACTGATAAAAAAAACAAAAAAAGATAAGAAAATGTGATTGAAAGTACCGAAGAAGAGATGGGAGAAAAAGAAACGAAAAAAAAGGTTTTTTATTTTTTTTTTCTGTTATTTTATTTGAAAATATTTTTAATCAATGTTAATTTACTAAGTTACCCTTCGCTCCAACAGATCAGTTTAACAATCCGTAAAAAATGAGGGTTGTCTATGTAATAACGAAACCAACGGATGCTCACTGATTAAGTGAAACCTATGTTATAAGAGTAATGCTGCAGTTACCGAATGATGCACACCAAATTTGTGCACCGAATGACATGAGACAATCCTAACCGTTGATTCATTATAAGTTAATATTAATCAACGGTCATGATTTTGTCACGTCATTCGATGTATGGATTCAATGTGTAATTTTCGATAACTCTATCATTTTCCATGTTATAATTATATTAATTTGTGTTTGATTACATTTTTCCTTGCAGGTTTAGATAAATTGAACCATTTTTTGCTATCATAAAATGTAAGATTACTTATTTAATTATTTAATCTAATTTTCATAATCTTGATTAAACTAATTATTTTCGTTAACATGTAACAACAACTACCATGATTCATGCCATTATCAATTCAATAATTTATACTATTATAACCACTTTCCATATTATTATAAAGTCACCATCATTATGGAACCCATTTGCCTCAATATTATCAAATCACTCATATCCATTTTACTTGTTTATTTATTTATTTTATACATAGGATTCTTCTAAGCCACATTCATTCATTGTGGAAGCATGGTTCGAAGCCTTCTTTTTTTTAATAATTGCGGTATATGTGTCAGCTTAGGCAAACTTTAACTAATCCTTCGGGATCTTAAAATTGGTAGGACTGTTCAACGAGGTGAGCTACTCGCGAGTCAGCTAGGCTCAAGTATGGCTCGTTAACGGCATGCCTCGTCTGGAATCAAGCCAGCTCAGCTCGTTAGGCTTGCGAGTTGAGCTAGGCTCGAATTATTAGGGGCGTTTTAGGTTTTATAAAGTATGAGGGATTAAACTAAAATTTTTAAAACAAAAAGATTGTAAAAATGACAAAGAAACCTCGATGTTAAAATCCCTAAAAACACAACTAAAACCCTTTGCTATAAAACCAAACCAAATCAAACTATTTCAGGCAAGTTGTTGCCATCCGAGTTGGTGGAGAATGCAAGGAAAACAAGGAGAAAGAAAGGAAGATAAAGTAAGAGAAACAAGAACCATTAGAGAGAGAGAGAAGAGAAGAGAAAGCAAAGAGTAATAAGTAACAAAAATAGGAGAAAGAGAATACCTTTTGAGTTGGTGGAGAGACCAAGGAAACAAGGAGAAAGAAAGAAAGAAAGAAAGGAAGATACAATAAGAGAAACGGGAGCCATTGGAGAGAGAGAGAGAGAAAAGAAGAAAAAGCAAATGAGTAATAAATGAGAGAGAGAGAAGAAGAGAAATGAAAGAGAAATAAATTAGAGGGAGAAAATCTACTCCCAATTTAAAAAAAAAAAAATTTGCATGCTTTTTACTAACTCGTGAGCTCATTCAACCGGCTCGCGAGCTAGGCTCGAAATTCTCTTCTTCTTTCACGAGCAAACCCGAGTTAGAAAATTAGTGACTCGACTCGGCTCAGCTTGAAAACAGCCCTAAAAACTATTGACCACGATCGTGTAAAAGCTCTAGTGACTACATTTATTAACAACCAAGGAGGGACTTAAATTTAGAACCTTTTGAATAATACATTTAAGAGTCTCTATTGAATCATTCGGCCACTCAAAAATAGTTCAGTCCGGGCTTCTTTATAGCAAATTGTACTAAAGATTGTTTATTGTAAACTATACATGTCAATAATATTAATTGAGATTGAATGAAAAAAAAAAAAAAATTTTTTTTTTTTTTTTTTATTTTTTTTTTTTTTTTTTTTTTTTTTTTAGTTTTTATAATTGGTTAATGAAACTAACATTTCGGTCTTCTCCAAAATAATTTTTTAAGACTAATTGAACCTCACAATCAATAAAACAGATATATTAACGGGGAAACAAACTTTGTGCCACCAACTAAAAAAATTTGTTTTAATTTCTTAAACCATTTATGGTTGAACTTACAAAAACATTAACAATACTTTAAACAGAAAAAGTTAGACTCAAATTGATTGGGATTTTTAAGTTATATTTAAGGAGTAATTAGTGCACCCAACTTTTTCAATACAGGATCTATATATTATTTTTCAAAACCTATGGACCTTACTGTTACCACTGATAAACCTGAGGTGTATTAAAAAAGCCCATTTGCCATAGTCATAAGATTACCATCTTTATAATTTTATTAACCATTCAGTTCATGTATTTTGTTAAGTAAAAGAACAAGGTACCAATTTGATACGAGATAATATCAATTTATGTCGAAATAATGTATTAATATCAAGCGTTATTATCGCTTATCTCAAGTTACCCCACTTTGGTCAAATTAACAAGTAAAACAACCAATCTGATGTGATAAAGTCATTTGAAATAATTGAATTTAAAAAAAAAAAGAAAAAAAGAGAAATTCAATTGTGTCTAGGGGTGTTCAAAACTGGTTAACCGATTTTGTAAACTGAACTAGTTTTTCGGTTTAGGAATTTTCTTTAACAGAAATTGAACCAGTTAAGAGGAAAATCGGTTTTTCAGTTAACCAAAAAATCAGTTAACTGGTTAACAGGGGTGGATTAAACCCCTTTGAGGGTAGGCCCAGATTTGAAAAAAAAAAAATTATTAATATACAGGCAATAAAAAATTGTTAATTAACATATATACTCAACCCACCTTCAGATTTTTAAAAAATAAGAACTATTATACATACTGTGTATCTAGGTCTACAAAAAAACTTATTATTAATTTATATATATTCCAAGCCCACATCATATTAAAAGTTTAAAATTCTTTTCAGTATTTTTCTTCATAGCTTTACCTGTTTTTTATGATTTTATCCCCCAATTCTTTACTCTCTCTTTCTCATGTTATTCGTTCTTAAAATTTTTGAAGACTAAAATTGTTAAATTTTTACTACTCAAGGTGTCATAATTAGCTCCGTTTTCTGTTTTATCGATTTTAGGTATGTGTATTGTTCATTTCAATTTAGTTTATTTAAGGATTGAATCATTTTTTTTTTTCGAGGTTTTTTATTCTAATTTGAGAGAAAAATATATTAATCTTGTGAGTTTATTTTGTATTTTTTGTCTAAGAATGAATCTGCTTTCTCAAATTAAAACCTTAACTATATTTTAAAGGACATTATTCTCCACCCTTCACTCACCACTTTTCTATATTTTAAACGTCACCGTTCAGTTGTTCAAAATTATTAAAGAAATTTGAGTTACTATCTATGTTTATACTAAAAAAAATTCCTCTCTTTTATTAATTCATATTAAAAGTCAACGTAATATTGACTTGATTTAAGTTTTGGTTGACTTTAGCTTAATTAGGCTAGGTTTGATCAATGCTATGAAAATTTATATTGTAATATTTGAAAGCCAAAAATTAAAATATTAAAAGAATATTTTGTTCAAGGTTTACTCAACACTTTTACTCAAAATTTTGCTTCTCATAGATTTATTCAAATAAAAAAAATATTGTGTTATTGTATATTCTTTTTTCTCAGGTTCTTAATATTGTATTATTTTTTTAATTAAGGTTTAGTGATTTTCTAATGTTTTCACTAGTTATTTGGCAAATAATGACGGAGCTGCGGAGGCCCCCCCTTGACAAAAATCTTGGATCTACCACTGCTGGCTAACCGGTTTTGAACAAATTTTAATTTGATATTTTATATATTTTTTAATTTAATATTTTTATAATAAACCGGATTATTTTATTTTTTATTTTAATTTAATATTTTTTATCATAAAGCGTATCCCATATTCTACCAAACTAGTAACCAAACCGAAAATTCAGTTTTTTAATTTCTTTGAACCGAAACCGAACCAGTTTTTTAGTTAATCAGAAATTCGGTTTGGTTCGGTTTCTACATTTTTTTGAACGCCCTTAATTGTGTCAATGATTCATTATTATTCACGAGAAGCCGTCAACACTAGAATACGTATTATAGTTACTACTCTTTGATATGCATCATGTCAAAGTATCCATCAATACAATATTCACTAAAAGTCAATATTGAAAAATATCGTCAAATTTTATTGTCGATATGTTACAAGTGATAATGCACCATTGACACCATAAAACTCATCATCCTTTGATCTAAAGTACATGGCACAAATTTCTCCTCTAAACGGGTTGAGATTTTTCAAACATGTGGAGCTTTGCAGAGAAGATGAAACCTTGGGGGAGGTTCTAGAAAAAAAACCCTAAAATGTCAATTTCAATCAACGGTGGTTTGTTGTTAAAACTGACATAGAACTGGAGTGGGCTTTTACCCTGAAATGGGCCGAGCTTTTGAATTGTTGATTTGGTAAAATTTAGGGCTGATGGGAAGTCACGTGGCGTGTTATTTTTGGTTGGATGGATAATTGTTGAAACAGAAGATCTCTACCCGATAAATACAACGCTAACCCTAGCCATTGCAATCGCCTCTCTGCCCTCTTTCATTCTTTCCGTGGCCAACACTTCCAAACCAGTAAGTATCTTTTCTTTAATCTTATGAACATTGCGTTTGGTTGAATGGACTGTAATTGGAATTCTGATTCATATTTCAGTTGAAATTTTTATTTTTATTTTATTTTTTTAATCGTAAACTTTGGATTAGATAGCTCATATTTATATATTTGGAACTGAATCTGTGTGTTCTTGATATGCTTGTTAACTATATGAGATCGGTTTTGTAATACTAATTGTTTTTGATAGATGAGATTAAGGTTCATTAGAGATTATTGAATGCTTCATTTGAGATGGGTTTATTGGAAGAAATATCCCCTTGAATTCTACTCAAGGTTTTGCCCGATTACAGGGAGATCCCATCAGTTTGGTAAATAAGAGGGAAACCTACTTATTTCCAAATTTGGGCAATCTCTGTGTCACTGTGACAAATCTGAGGGGATGTGAATGAAATTTTTGGTATTTTTTTCTTCCTGCAAAAGTATTTTTCTGTTACTCTGATTAAAATTGAGATGTTTTAATTTGTTGAAAGACATGATATAGATTTTGTTTTTTGCATTGCATTTTTTATATGCTGATTTCATGGACCTTTCCTGTTAATAAATTTGTGGCAATTTAAGTGTTCTTTTAACCTTCTGCATGGTCCTGACTTCTCTTGGTATTGCTTGTTCAGGAAACTTACGGGTGTTTGTGATATTTACAAATCTTTGAGGTGAAGCACGTCATCAGTGAAGTTTCTTTTATGTCCATACAGGCCATTTCCTGTTTGGGATCGGTTGGGTTGCTTGGAGAGTATTGCCCTTGTTCCAGAATAAAGATCAGACCCTTGTCTGATAGAATTGGCTGTATGCATCTCGTGTCATTTCAGGAGTACCCAGAAAAATTTTATGGTTGCAGCTGGTTGCGACCTTTCCTGACTGCTGAAGATCAGTCTTCTCTCGTTCAAGAAGCTTTAGAAGGCAACAGTGCTGCTGCACACGCTTGGACTGCCAGCATTTACTCATTTTGACATCTTGAATTTTTTTTTTAATTGGGATCAAGATGGCTTTGCTGAACATAGGAGCTGATAATAGAGATGATGCCTTCTACAGGTATAAGATGCCTAAAATGATTACCAAAATAGAGGGACGTGGAAATGGCATCAAGACAAATATAGTCAACATGGTTGATATTGCAAAGGCTTTGGCTAGGCCACCCTCCTACACCACAAAATACTTCGGTTGTGAGCTTGGTGCTCAATCTAAATTTGATGAGAAGACTGGTACTTCTCTTGTTAATGGGTCTCATGACACTGCTAAGCTTGCCGGACTTCTTGAGAATTTCATTAAGAAATATGTCCAGTGTTATGGTTGTGGAAACCCAGAAACCGAGGTAATGATCACAAAAAATCAGATGATCCAATTGAAATGTGCTGCTTGTGGATTTTTGTCGGATGTGGATATGCGAGACAAGCTCACCACTTTCATCGTGAAGAACCCACCAGAAACAAAGAAGGCATCAAAAGATAAGAAGGCATTACGGAGAGCTGAGAAGGAGCGACTCAAGGAAGGTGAGGCTGCTGATGAGGAACTGAAGAAACTTAAGAAAGAGGTGAAGAAGAAGGGTTCTTCTTCAAAGGATGGTACAACAAAATCCAGCTCCACAAAGAAGAAAGGAAATAATTCTGATGAGGATCGCATATCACCAGCACACAGTCAGGTTGATGAGAAGGAAGAGGTTGATGGAGATGATGACGATGATGTTCAGTGGCAAACTGATACATCACTTGAGGCTGCTCGTCTACGTATTCAAGAGCAACTGAGTGCTGCGACAGCTGATATGGTCATGCTTTCTACAGATGAGTCAGAAAAGAAGGCTAAGGCAGCCCAAAAAGCAGTTGGTAGTCCAAAAAGTTCTATACTGCGTGCTGGGCAAACCAAGGCTGAGAATGGGAATTTATGCTCCAATGAAAATCTTGTTAATGAGCTGAAAGCAAAAATACAGAAAGGTCTTACTGGGAAGCAACTGCAATCAATTATTGGATCTCTCTCTGGATCTGCTCAGGAAAAAATGACTGCTCTGTTTGAGGCGCTTTTTGATGGTGTTGAGAAAGGATTCACAAAGGAGGTGGTCAAGAAGAAGAACTTCCTTGCTGCTGCTCTTGCTCAGGAAGAGGGATCACAGTTGCATCTGCTCCGAGCAATTGAGGCATTCTGTGGCAAGTCAAGATCGTTGTTGAAGGAAGTGGCATTGGTTTTGAAGGCTCTCTATGATGCTGATCTATTAGAGGAAGAGCACATGGTGCAGTGGTATCAAGAGGGGCTTCAAGGAGGCAATAAGGACTCTCAGATTTGGAAGAATGCTAAGCCCTTTATCGAGTGGCTGCAGAGTGCTGAGTCTGAATCTGAGGAGGAATGAGCATATCTCTACTAATAATGTTATGTAAGCTTTTTTCTAGCAGTTGTCTATGTTACTGGTCTATTAAGACAAGTAATGAGTCGTTTTTGTTGTTTAATTTTCCTTAAGATTCTATGAACTGAATAATTTTATGGAGTGTTACTATTATAGAGTGTTATTATGCGCTATAGCAGCGATAACTATTTTGTTTGCTTGTATAAAATAAAAAATGATAAAACTGTTTTCTTTACTTCTGTTGTTTTGCGGTTTCTACTTTCTACAATTCTACTTTACTGTTGTCATTGTGTGAAACAAATCGTAGTCTGCTGTCCTGTTATCAGGTCTAGTTTCTTGTGCAAATAACCCTTGTGCTTATGCTCTTTTTTTTTTTTTTTTTTGGGTAAGTTCTTTTTTTTAAAGATTTGGTATGGAAAGTCCATTATTTTCTCATCAAGGATCATGACATTAAGATGTTGGAATAGGAATATAACGAAAGATGGTGAACATAAGAAATTAAGAAAAACAGGATATATGGCATTGGATTAGCGTCAGGAGTCAGGACTTCACGTATTTGCCATATGTGTATTATTTTCTTTTTCAATTGTCAGATGATAGATCTTTTAGAATGATTAATTATATGACAATTTTATTACTTTCACCTTAAATGATGTGGGTATAAAAAAATCTCTTATATATAACAGGTTTCTCAGAAAAATCTCTTTTGTAGTTTTTGGAGTTTTCTTTTTTAAAATGTCACTTTTCAAAGGGCTTTTCACTTGGATCAAATTGATGCATTATAAGCGAAATACCTCCCTTTAACAACGAGAAAGTTAAATAAGGAGTATATTAGTCAGATTGCAATTTTTAAACATAAATACATGAAACTTTATAAAGTGACATTTTTTTTTTTAGTTTCATCCTCTGAAATGGGCTTTTTGTTTTCTTCTTTTTCCCCTAAACCCTGTTGTAAAATTGTATCTCAGTCTCACTAGTCATAGTGATAACGTCTTAATTAGATAAAAACAGGCCATGTTATTTTGCTTGAAGGCCAGGGACCATCCAACAATTATTACTTACAGTGAGAAAATGACTAATTTTCCTTTTTATATCTGCAGTTTGCAGGTGCATCTTCCACTTTCTATTATCTTGTCTCTCACTGTTGGTATACAATCTGTGAAAAATATTGTGAACAAATTGACTTGACACTTCTGGTGTCATTGTTACTAAATTTATTTTAGATTAAATCCTGGTATATTAATGCAACATCCCAATCAGCTCAGATTCTTTGTATTTTCTATTTTTTTTCTTTTTTCTATTTTGCAAGAGTTACATACACTGCTAAATACCCTTGTAACTATACATATATACTTAACAGAATTCATAAAATATACATCTCAGTATGTCAATTGATTTCTCAACTATTTTCATCTAAAGATCCAGGGATGATTGCCCTTTAAACTATAGTCCACCAAAGCCTCACCATTTGCAGCAACCTTATGAGGATCTTCCGCTGCCACAACTTTCTGTACACTATACCCTGCTACTTAATTCTTCCAATGTGACTTGGTTGTCACAACAATCATTGAACATGAATAAGACGTGGCCGAGTATGCTGCAGTCGTGGCAACTCATTTTCTTCATCTGTTGCACCAAGCGATAATCGAGTTTCCTAGTGCACAGAAAATAAATGTTAAAAAAGAATTAATTCGAGTGTTTTCAGTAGTATCAATGACAATAATAATCTAAGATCATCTTCAAGCAGTAAATAGCTCGGGGAGTATAATTGTTGAATTATATTCGGAAAATAGTATGTATATCAAAGGCCTTCTAGAGGCAGTATAAATGCCAACTATATTTTTGCCCAACTGATTAAAAATAGGGAGTAGATTTGTTGAGTTACCATTTCTGATCTCATTCAAACAATAATGGAAAGTCAAGTCAAAGAACACTAAAGAACACTCAATCGAATGATGTAAAATATCACAATGCGATTTAATAGTCAATTAAGATCCAGAAAGATCCTCTAGTTTCAATTAAAATTCAGAAAGGCCACTACTTCATAGTATGAGGTCAAAACAGCAATAAGAAAGGACATGCGCATATAATATTCAGAACTATAAATAGGTCGGAAGCAAATGTGAAATGTTAATACTTGATGCTACATCTAACTGGTGTAAGTAAATTATATCCAATCATCAAATCCATAACTAACCTGCTGGTTTCGACGACGTTGGATGACAGTGAATGCCTTAACCATGATATAGATAAGCAACAGAATCCCAATGGTTCTCAACATCATTAACTGCAACATAAAGCACAAAGTTATTTCTCTGGACCAGCCACAAAACCTGCATTAAAATCTTTTCACTTCCCATCAATCCCCCCAATTATATTGTTCTTTTCCAAAACGTAAGCCAGCCAGTCTCACCATTAACAATGTCAAGGAATATTCTCCAGCCCCACTAATTATGATCGGAAGAGTATGCCGTAACACCAGAAGAACCATGAACTGTAAAAACATATCAACAAACTATTTTTAATAGAAAAGGCAGAAAAAACAATCATTGTGAAACATAGACAAGATGCATGGTGCCTACATAAATGTGCAATTCGATTAAGGGGCAAACTTATCACATAAATTATAACTAGAAATAATGTAATACTGTAATGTTTACTTTTAATAAAACTCTAATATCAAATTCCCATGATCAGGTAACCAATTACAATAAGGTTTAAAACTCTCAGCAGAGTCTGACTTAAGAATAAAACATAGATGATATGATATAGAACTCAGAGGTCAGTATGACTAATGTTCACAAGCTCAAGGAATGCACTAAAACCTGCGGCAACCAGACAACATTTTTTTCTCCAAATCAATCAACTTTTATTCGGCTTTATTAAGTTTTAGTTTCAACTTTCAGAGACCAATCAAATTCAATTTGATTTCATTATCTCTCAGAGATGCAACCATCAACCATGCATAACATATATATATATATATAGAGAGAGAGAGAGAGAGAGAGAGACAGAGACAGAGAGAGAGACATATACAATTATAGCAATAATACGGCAGCATAAAAGGCTTCTAGAACTGGGTGTGTAATACTCATCAAAGTTAGAATCCAGAAATTCACGATCAGCAGTAACCATGGATATAAACTGAGGGTTATGCAGGTCCCTTCTTGAAATCTCCCAATTTGCCCTAAAATTATAATCCCCAAAAGGTTATATGACTTCAAAAAGGAAAATCATTTTTGTTAATAAAAAATGAAACTCTACATTGACAAACCTTCATTCAAAGGTTAAAACTATACCTGAAGTTATCACCATAGTGGAAGAGAGGAGGAGGTGCTGTATAGCCAGGTTTATATTGCTGCACACTCAAAACGAAAAGCTAATAACTATGTTGTCCCAAACTGACTTGAACATAATTCATTAAAAATTATTGATTTACAGATCAAAAACAGACTTAATGTAAGAATGGCAGACCTCACGGCAAATCTCACAGATAGTATCACCCTTCTCATTGCACCACCTCTGAACACAATTGCGGTGAGCATACTGCAAAAGTCAAGAAATTATAGGATACCAGTAATCTCAGAGGAGATATATGAAATGCCAGAACCATGTAGGCCAAAAAAGGGAAGATGAAGAGAATATTGTTATCTATGTGTCCTTCTCTTAGACAGTTGAGCTAAAATTCAATAATGGAAATGAGTTCACAATTGCTGAAGGCAACTTCACGTGATCATATATGCCCATATTCAGGGGTGTCCTATTTATTACAGTACAGGGAAAACACAAACGAAAACCTTGAATACTCCTGCTTGAAGCTTGCCACAACACAGGCTGTTCAAAAGTTGATGCCCAAATTGTTCTGGATTTATTTCATTATGATCAATAAAGATCGAATTTTAGCTCAGAGAATGTGAGAGAAAAAAAAGGGGTGTGAGCCGGGTAAAGAACCATCATGTCCCTACTAATGGAACCAAGTTCAGAAAGAAGATGCTTTGAATCCTTTGAAGTCACATTCAGTTTCCCTAGAACTTAAGACATTGACCAATAATATGTCATGATTGGATGGATGGTTTCTTCATATAACGGCAAGCACAGGGATACCATCTGCTTACAATAAGTTACAAAGTGGTCACTGCCTGATAAAATAATTTGTAAGAAGTGAAGAAAATAGTTCATGATACAGTCCTTCTAACTTTGGAGTTATTACATTGATAAACAGCACATCCTTTTACAGGAACCTATTTTCAGATTTTCTAGTATATGGTTATAACTTACAGCCAATATTAGTATCGTGTGTAGGGGAAAGTTCAAAAGGATCAGAAGCATGATAAAATTTTCGGGGATTTGAATAAAAAACACCATAAAAAATATAAAATTTTAGAGATGGTTTGTCAGGGGCAAAGACATATCAACACTGCATTTCAGACCCCCTGATTTCAAGTTTAGAAGATTTTACTTGACTTACATTTTATGGTTGATTAAATCAATCTGATTCGTAAACCAGGTAAGATTTGAAATCATGTTTTAAGCAAAACTTTTCAACTCAAACAAGGTCAGATTCATTTGAATACAAAGTTTTCCAGTTAAAACTTGGACCCACTCTTTATTTAATCATATTACTTTGACTTAAATGAAATTGCATGGAATTTTCAAGTTTTAATCATCGTGCATATAGTGAAATCATCAAAATTATTAATAAACAGCTTTATGTCTAGAAAAACCTACACAACCACCATAAATTTCAAGTTTTAACAGCTTACACTGCAGTGAAATTTTCCATAAAGAACCAATTACACAAATACAAAAACAGACCTTTAAGCTGCCACAGCAAGAGCAAGGAATTTCCATGTTTGAGTCTTGATCCTCGTCATGGCAAATCCTACACTCTACCAGTTTACTTGGGGATGAACCAATATCTTTATCCACTCTGTGAGAAGAAAGTTTAGCCATGCTATCTTTGTTTGCCAAGGCTGCAGCTTGCTGCAACCGGTTGTTGCTCTCGATAGCAGCTTCAATGGTTGATTCAGTTAGCAACCGATCCATCAGCAACACAAAGTGATCCCCCATCCTTCAGATTAGACAAAGAAATAGCTTATAAAAGTTAAAGAAGCACAATAGAAGTAAACAAAAGCCAACCCTGGTATACTTTACCAAAAATCCAAAATAAAATATCAACAGCCAAAAAGAGAAGAAACGGACCAACTAAACCAACTAAAAACAAACGAGTTAAGAGTACCTTTGTGACAGTTAAAAAAATAAAAAAAGATGATGAATCTGCATTAAAAATTAAAGCTTTTTGACAAGAGAAAATACATTGAAGAGCACCAAAATTATGGAACTAAAATTTCCAGAATAGTTGGTACTCAAACTTCAATTCAATTATTTTGCATAATAAATTTAAAAAAAAATGTTCATGATCATAGTGATTCTTAAAACAAAAAAAAAAGATTTCCCTCTTGTTTCTCGGCAGGCAAACAAAATTTTGAAAATTAAAGGACCACCTTTAAACAAATGTTCTGTGAAAAATTGAAAAACAAAGCGGCAATGAAATACATTTAGTATAGAGATTAGAAGTTAAACCCATAGTCAAAAGAAGATATAGTTAGCAGTAAATGGAGCACTACTCTAGCTTCGTCAAGAACAATATAAGCATCAAAAAAAGAAAAGAGAAACCTTAGATAAATGAGGGCGAACAATGTAAAAGTAAAGATAAAGGTCAAAAGCAGAGGCAACTTTAACCAGAAATGGAAAGATATATTAGCTTGCTTTGATATCCGAAATCCCAGAAAGCAAAAGCCATCAAATAAAAAAATTAATTTAAAAAAATAAGGTAAAAGACCCTGTTCATAAAGCTGAAACACAAGAGCAAACCCACATTTTTAAAACGAAAGTGGCGTAAAATACAATAACAAAAAGCTAGAGATAGTGATAGATACAGAAAATAACAAAAACCCAGATTTAACAAACGAAAACAATAGAGCAATGGGGAACAAAACGAATCACGATTTCTAAATTAAAAATGTATTACAAATCATATGAGGTAAAACCCTGAAGTCCAGTACGTTGCCGGGACCTGGTAACAGAGCGTTTAAATCCCCGAATTTAAAAAATGGAAAACCCAGAAGAAAACGACCAGAAAGTGACGGAAAAAAAGACCCAGATTCAGGAACAGAAGTGAAATAAAGATGACAATGCAGATACAGAGAGGCAGAAAGAGAGCGAAAAATGAATCACCTAGAGAAATATTGAGTGAATGCATTAGTAAATATTCAAACAGTTGAAATGTATGATTGATGGAATGACAGGTGAAGAAATTTCTGAAATGACAGAAGGAATAAGATATAGAGAAAGAGAGAGAGAGAGAGAGAGAAGGCTTACGAGAATAGAAATGGGATTTTCTGAAAGAGAAGAAAAGCAACAATCTTTGCGTTCCTTTGGTTGAATGTTTTGTGAAGAGGAAGCAAGAGATTGAGTGTGGTGCCTGTTATAGAAATCCAATTTTCATTTTCATTTAAAAACAATACAAAGAAAAGCTAATCCAAACTAAAGAAAGATGGTACGCAGAGACGATGCCAGGTTGAGAAAAACAGAGAATCTTGTAACGACCATGCCCACGAACAAGAACACCCCACCGTCACGATTTTTCTGTTTTACTGCAACCCGTTTTTGTCGTTTTTATCAATTTCTCGTACCCCTATTGCGATCTTTTACATTTCTGTTTGCAATTGAAAGTCCTTTTACATTGTAATATAAAAATTAAATTTCATGCTTTTTTTATTATTATTATTATTAAATGTCTCTTTTTTCCTTTAAATAAACCAAAAAAGATAACAAAATCATTTCATAGATATAGAATAGTTTTATAGTTTTAAATTACTAAAATTGGTTTTCATATAAAAATAATATAGCAAAAATATTTAAAATAATATGAATATAAATTTTGAGCTTTAAAGACTTTAAATAACTGTAAATAGTTTCTATGAAATCCCCATATTTTTTAGCTTCTTCCTTTAGATGGAAGCAACTTATACGATCATCCATTAACCTTTCTTGAGTTGCATCAAAACATCAAGGTTGTTACACAAAAACTCAACAATCAAAGATATTCAATAACACAACAATAAAAGATATCTAGTTCCATAGACATGATGTGTGTGGCTCCGTTTGGTTCATTATTGGGTAGTTTTTAGAATAATCTTTTGAAAAAAGTTAAATTGGGTGGGTATTATGATGTAGAATTTTAAAAATTAACCTAAATATCCCCTATATTTATTTATTTACTAAACAGCCCTAAATAAAATGTTCAAAATTAACAATCCACCCCCAAAAACACGGACAGCCGGCCACCACCACCAGAGGGTGGCCGGAGTTGCCGTATCAGGGTATAACCGGCATGATATTGCCAGTCGTGCGTCGGTATGGACTTTTCCGGCTAGATCCACCTTAGATTCGGCCAGAAAAGGCTAGACCTGCAACTAGTCTGGCAATTGACGGTCAGATCTGGCCGCATTTGGTCATTAACAATGGCCAAAGATACGGTCGTCATTGATGGTCAACGACGACCATATCTTGGCAGTCGTTGACGACTGTCTACAGCCAAAGATTTGGCCGTTGACGACCAGATCTTTGACCATTGGATCTGGCCAAAAAAAGGCTACATCAGCGCACTACCGGCCAGATTCAGCAGATAATGCGTCATTACACCAGATTCCGGGCAGTTTTCAGCAGTGATAGTCGGAATCTGGTAAATTTGGGTTACTAGGGTGTTTTTGTCAACTTTCAAAATTTTCTTTGGGGGTTGTTTAGTTAAATTAACAAATTTAGAGGGATCAATAGAAGTTGAATAATTTAGAAAACTATTTTCAAAAGAGGTGAAATAAAGTTAACTTTTTTGGGAAAACTTTTGGGAAAACTAGAAAAGTTTTCCCAATATGTGAACCAAACGAAGCATGTGTGATTATGAATGATTCGCTTGGAATGAGTTAGGAAACGATAATGGGATGATAAGAAACGATTTTTAAAGTGGTTCGACAAATATGAATCAAGCATACGTCTATTGCTATGTTATTGATTTGTATATGTTTTACATACAAAGTGATCACAAAGGAAAGCGAAGTTACGCACTCCCTAAGTGTGTTTCTTGCTCTATATGTGAATCAACCCCTTTAAAATGAAGATGGAGTCTCCCTTTTATACACCCTCTGACAACGGTTGTTAGTAATTGTTACAGGATAAATTACATACATAATCTCTCATAAATCGGATTTGAGTCAACCACTGTTGTACTTAAGTCTAAACACGCATGCTTAATCTTGATAGACTTGTCATCTGCTCTGTAAGCAACATGTGGGGCATACTCAACCATCAGATCCTGGTTTGGAGTAAGGACACGTGGCATAACTATGGTCGTCTGAAAAGTCATGCACAACACAAAAAATCTTGAAAAGAGTTTTGAACGTTTAATAAGACTTTTTTAATTATAAGATAATCTCATTTAAACAAATTCTTATTATACTAAAAAAGGTATTTTCAGTTATTAATCAAATTAATTATGATTTGAAAATTTTAATTTATAAATAATAAATAATTCGAACATAATTTAATTTCATGATGTGTGATTAAATGTAACTCTAGTATAATTTGTAATTTCATATGTGAATTACTATTATCATGTCGGTCATTTTTTTTTTCTTTTTTTATTTAAAAAAAAGAGTTATAAAGTGTTTTATTAAAAAAAAAAAAACATATTAAGACTATTCAAAGAATTTAAATTAAAATAATTCTTTGGTCGAATATTAAAAGTTCCTGCATAAAATATAATTTTGAAACAAGTTAAACTAACCCCACATCATGAATATGATTTAAATTGAAAGAGACATTTAATCCCAAATCTTGATGTTAATTACACTAAAACAATAATAAATTAAATCTATTTAGGGAAATATTGAAAATGAAGAATAAAATCCCTCAATATAGATCTTTCATAGAATGAGAAAGAAAGGGACCCTTTGGCACATGAGTGGTAGTAATTCCTGGAAGCCCATTAAATGAAATTGGCCCCCATTAGTGGAGGCCCATAACCATAACTTTCTTTAGTCATTTTCAAAAGCCACCGTTGGTTTATTGTCTCAATAAAGTCACATACATTATCTTATCTCACCAATCACATCATGCTTCTTCTCCTTTTATATTAATTTTTTTAGTGAGATTGGTGTCGGTCCATAGTTTAAACAATAAATTTAGAGTGAATTATTAGATCTGTCAAACTACCTTGTAGACATAAAAATCTACCTATACGGAAGGAGGGTCTGATCCCGCGAGATTGAGGCCACTAGCGATCTGCTGTACCTGCATACGTAGAGAAACACACGCGTGAAGCGAACGGGAAACACCGGGGTGGTGTTTGCCACAGGCACTCCGACGCTCAAGTCAGCAAGGCTGAAAGGCTAATATAGTGAGGGCTAGGAAGTAAAAGGTTACCGGAAGTCTAGTCGGGGACTGTGACTACGGCGGTGATGTAAAGCTCTCAAGTAGGAGCTTCGGGTGTGAAGGTGTAATGTCCTGTCCCCTGTGAGAGGGCTGGCCTCTGCTTATATAGTGACTATCTCCCAATCCTAGTGGGAGTAGGAGTCCTAATGTGACTCTGATGCCAACCCTAGAAGAATTAGGGTCGTGGTAAGCTGTCTTACCAGTGTCTGGATAGGAAAATGATTCTGATCAGAAAAGTAACTTCGAGTAAGAAAGTGTTCTGAACAGGAAAGCGACTTCGAGTAGGAGATTGATCAGGAACAGGAATATGATCAGTGCGCCGTGGACTCGGAACTTGCCTACAGGCCCATAAAGTGAACTCGAACTGGGAGTCCCATGCCCAGAGGGTTTGGGTCGGCCGTATCTCGTATCAAATGGGACTGATCTGGCTTGGGCCTCTTTAGGACTAGGCCCGGTCTTTTCTTCACTAGTGGTCCTGCTTTCTTATTTGGGCCAAGGACGATTTTTGGCCTTAACAGTTTGTCCCCCACTCTCTGAGTTAAAAGTATTTTAAGTCAGAGAGTATGTAGCGCTCGAGACGAGCTCGGTCTTCCTTCGTGGAAGAACGATCATCGGCGTGGACGATCTGGCCGTTGCGGGTGATCTTTGGTTTGGACATCGTTCGGGATCCACTCTTGACCCAGAGTATGCCATCGTTGCGGTGAGCCTGATCGGTGCGACAAGTCGAAGGGACAGAAATAGATCAATGCTCATGCGGTCGTTCGGTATATCCGTTAGACAAGCAAGGTGAGTTAAGACGGGGTATTCACTCATCTTGCCGGGTCGAACGAGTTAATAAACATGCCAAAATGGCTTCACTCGGTCGGGATGTTGGAGCCATCGACTAGGTGGTATCTTGACCATAGGTTGTCCGTTCGTCCGCTACAGAGGGATGAATGGGTGAAGTCTTCTGTCTTATTCTGAGGGCTCGAACCGGGCTGTTCCATACTGACTGATCGATCGGTCGGGCCTTTCGGGATAGAAAAGCGTGGGGCATTTTGAGTGCCTTTAGGGGTCAAGGCTAAGTCAGTCAGGAGGGCCGAGCGATCGAATAGAAAGGTATGCAAGTTGACCACTGGCTGTCCTTTCTTCTGCTATGGAAGGGTGACGGGACAAGGCCTCCTACCTTTCGAATGTAGAGAGTTCGGACAGGGTCGTTCCGGCTGGTCAACCAGGCTTGAGTAGTGTGCTGGATCGGTTGGCATGACAGGGCGATTGAATACGGCTCTCGTACGGCATCATGATCTCCTAGGTGCCATAGATGCTTGCCATGTGTTCAGTGGGGATCGACCCATTATTTTCGAGGCGGGAAAACGAAGAGTTGCTGACTACCTGCCAATCGCGAGGCGCCACGTGTCCTCATCTGGCAGATTTCCCTTAAAAAAGGAACTAGCAGGCCGTTTGTCTCCCATTTGCTTCTTTTTTTTTCTCTGTTTTTCTGCAGAACAACAAATCTTTTTTTTTTCTTTTTGCGTTTTCAGTTTCTTTTCAACTACGACAGTTTCTCACGGTAGACTTTGGCTCCCTTACGGTAAATATTTCATTTTCGTGATGTTTTTGCGTTTCTTTGTCTATTTTGGTAGATTTTGCTATGTTTTTGGAAGATAGATTGAAGTTCTTGAGTCTTCGAGTAGTTTCGATGGGTTTTGGGGAGTTTAGAATATAGATTTTTGGAATAGGCA